GTACTTCGGTAGCCGCCTGCCGAGTGCATTAAAATTCAGTGCGACCCAGCCCTCATCCACGAGTAGCTTGCGTAACAGTGGGCCCTAGCAACACCTTTGAATTGCCTGACGGAGTATAAAAGCAACCGTTTCATTACGCTAAGTAAAAAATAATAAAAAATAAACGAAAAAATTACAAGCTGGTGGAAATAAAAATAACAAAAACAAATGCATACATAAAAATGAAGAAAAATATGCAAGTTCAATGTACGGGCAGGTTTTTGCACTGCCCCTCTCACCAATTCCATTTTGCAATGAGTAGGGTGTTCGCACTGCATCCAGCGCAGTGACTAAACGAATGCGACTTTAGCTTGCATATTTATGTATGTATGCATTGTAAGTACGATACTTACTTGCCACATCCACATCCCCTCTCCAGGCGTTTTTCTTGCTGTTGCATTCGTTATTTGCGCCGCAAGAGACTAGGGTATGTACCAATGTACATACAACAACTACATGCATGTAAATATTTTTCGTGTATATGTGGATGTTTTATGTCAGACAGTGATCAGTTGATGGACGAAATTTATGTTTCACATCACATTTTATAAACGTGCGAAATAACATTCAAGGTTACGATATGAATTAAATCAGTTAGCAGATCTCACTTTGCGGCTTTCAATTTAACTTTACTTTACTAATAACTGATAACTGATAACTTTCCTGGCTTTTCAGCTTTGCTCTAAAAATTGGATTTTGGGTCTGTACTCACATATTTTGTAACAGTTTTAGACTCTCCACCTATTCATTCTATTTGAATTATCAAAAAAGTTTTTACATTTTTGAATTTGTACAATTGCTCCTAAAAGCAAATCTGCAACCAATGTAAAACCCATACCCTGGTATTTCGTCTTTATTTTTGAGCTCTAACATTGCGCTTGTTGTCTTTGGATAAATAATTGTCTTTCTTTACAGTTAACTCTCTGTAAGCATTTGAATTGAGCGTATGTGCCATACTTTCAGGTATTATTGAGACCTGTTGTCGCATTCAAACAAAAAACAGCAGATAATCTGAACCGTTCTTTATAATCTTCAAGTTGCGGAGCCTGACTAAGTGGCCCTTGCAATATTGGGACATGTCCTTAACCTTAATTGAATATGCCGCTTAATACGAGTATACTATTTATAGGAGTAGGAATCCACTTATTACATCGCAGCTCGCACCCTTACCTCAATGTTATTTACTCTCCGTTGCCTCGTTATTTTGTTCCTTCAGGCAGAGAGAACACCAATTCTTTTCATTCGGTGTTGTACTTAAAAGAAAGTCATGCAGGATTCCTTGCATCATAATACGAAATTGACATTGACATAACATTTTGGATAGTTAAAAACGATGAAGATACATAAGAAAGATATTAGCGGAAAAAAGTAATTTACGCCTAACGTTTGAAGGATGCCCATTTATCGTAAGTCTTGCAAAGATTGCGATCACGGAGCCCAGTGTTTTGATTTCTAAGTTTGTTAATACGTGGAGAACGCGAATAAAAGGCTTTTATTTTAGTATGTTTTTTAATTGAGGAAGAGTTTATCTCCCACTAATAAATATGCAATGGCACAGTTCAGTTCTAAAGATATGTTATTTTCTCTCATTAAATGTTATTATTAATTGTGTTAAGAATTATCATATATCAGAGCATAATCTTTCATATTTATTAAATTAACTAAATTATTGCTTTGTTTGTTAAAGATTCGTAAAGAATTAAATTCGTTTGACACTGACGCAGAATGAATTGGTTTTTCCCATAATTTTTTGCAATTCAAGCTAATCTGAGAGGGGTATAACAAGTACACATGCGCCATCATCTTCATCATTCATCCAGCCACAACTCGGACGGCACTTACAACTCCCCTATTAACATCGTTGTAGCACTATACTCGTAGACTTCACCGCCATGAGTTTTTCGTTCATTCGCTTTCAACCGCCCATAAAAAGGTCGCCACTCAATTCTACAGCTAAAGCAGTTTTTCATATAACCTTCCATAGTTGTATGCAGTATTAAAACTCTCCACTTCTTCGTCCCTCAATGCGTTACGACGATGACTGGTATCGCAGCGTACTATACATTCGTCTAATTAAATTTTTTAGCAGCACTCTGTTCTGTTGATATTCTGTTTTTTCACATTTTCCACTATTTTTCTGCCTTTTGTTTTTAAATTGTGGATCTCGCATTACTTCTGCCCCAAACACCATCTTTTCAATAACTTTTCGAGTACAACCAACTTCCGAACACTTCCCCTCCTCAACTTTCAAAAGTTTTAAAAATATCTGCAATGGTAATGAAGCTATTGAGAGTTTATTTATATAGTGTATATACCGAGCCACATATATGTACATATGTATGTATGTGCACACATACATATATTATATATGTACATGAGAGTGAATATCGTGGCACAGCGCGTTGGTTGGTTGAACGAAATTTTAATTTTTTTTTAGTAAATTATTAATTCATCTTGCCACATTTTGCATTTTACTTTTTAGGTGATGCAGCAAAATTTAACTAGAAGCATGATCACGGTGTACATTTTGCAATTAGCAATACAAAAGAAAGGTAAAGGAAAACAATACAGCGTTTTGAGAGGCAGTGCACATAAGTATGTACCACACACGCCTCATACCAATATAGCTATTCACCTCATTTCCATGCGGCGTCTAGCCCATAATGCGCCTCTTTTTCAGCCCGGTAACGGTAACTTCACATCATGCAGTTTTCGAAAGAGACAGTTAGGTGGCTAGGTGACCCCATTCCATCACCCACTTCTTCCTCTGTAGAAGCTTCGTTCAACCACAAATTCGCCAATGTGAATGAACTCTACTTAAATTCTCGGTTTTCATTGCAAGCGAATGCATGGACATGAACATGGTAAACAAGAATTGAAGGGAAAGCACGCTTTTGGTGGAGCATAGCCAGAGAATGCGGCAATGGCACTTTATCTACATTTTGTCAATTTTTAATTTAAACACTTTATACAACAAATCCTTACGGTTGTTACTGCTTATTTGCATATAAGTACATATGTACATATGTATGTCTTTATGTATATAACAAGATATGTATATACAGTTATGAGCATATAGAGCGGTGAAACCCAATTTGTTTACATGTACGATAATAATAATAATAAATTAACTCACGGCTCAAACTCCAATTGCAGCGTTGTCGAATGCCTTTCCATCCCTAATACATTGTTTACTGCCTGGTCGCTAATTGATGCTTTGGTCTTCAGTATAACGTTTTTAATTTCGAGAATTTCCCAACATAAGATACAGTCAAGGGTATTTGTTGGTGTTGCGTTGCATAACTTTAGATGGTTATTGTATTTTATACTCTCGCAACAAAGTTGCTAAAGAGAGTATTATAGTTTTGTTCACATAACGGTTGTTTGTAAGTCCTAAAACTAAAAGAGTCAGATA